ACTTAAAAAAAAAGATATAACTAGCCGAAATTTGTGTATTTTAGCGACTTCCTTTGAAACTTCGTAACTAGCGCGAATGCCCGGAAGAAGACCAAGCAAACTAGAATAATAATAAAGTAACCATGGCAATAATTGCAAAATAATCCACAGAATCTCCTCTTTCACACTCGTATATACCTGTATATTCTTACACATCATACAAAGTACAACAAAGAGAAAAAGCGCAATTTTCAAAATTAGAATTAGTTACCAGTGGATGCATTTTGGATTCATTTTTTACAGGCGTGATATTATATTTATGTTTAATTTCGGGGGCCCCTGCAGCTGCTGATTATCAGGGGCAAAGTGCCACGTTGTTATATCTGCGAACTAATTTATGAGTATTGTCTATTTACACACGGGGAAGAAATGATGTCGGATTCGAATAGTTAATCAATGATCGCTGGCCAGACCTCAACAAGATTTCGGAATACTCTTTCACACAATAAGTATATATATGCAGTATAATCATATAACATTGTGTATTCAAGGAGAACGTTCAAACAATATTTTTAACCCGCACTCGGTACTCAAGATCCTTAGGTGGCTATCTCCCCCGGTTTTTATCCCGAGCCGACGGCGCGAAGCGCTGTGCGAGGCTACTAATTCCCCCCGGCTATTTACACCCGGGGAAAGGGAAGCATTAGCTAAGTCTAAAGTTCATCAATGAGCGCGCGCGTCGGTCACCAACCATGGGTGGTCATCCTCACTGATCTCAAAAATATGGCCGACTGTCATGAATAACAGACACTGATTGGTCCAATTTAAAATTTGCATTATAACGACTGCATGACGACAGCCAAATAGCAAACATTTCTTGATTTGATGATTGATAAATTTCTTGCAAATATATTTCATTTTTGCTCGTATTTCTGCAAGATTTTGTAAATTTCAAAAAAGAAAGGGCGAAAGAATCGGCTAAAAGAAGGGAGCCGACGTTAAAGAAGGTAAGTTTGTTTTAAATATTGATTTTATAATGTCTTTAAAACCCGACCGCCTTTGCGTATATGAAACAACTAAACAAAACAGCATATAATTTCAGTGTATCTTTAATATTGACTCCCTTTTTTATTATATTGAATTTTTTAAATAAAATATAAAGCAAAGTTATTTTCAAGCAAGAATTTGAAATCATTTTATTGCAAACTCAAAGTTTATCGATAAAGCCATTTAATAGTTAAAGGCAGTTTAGTTTTATAAAGAACACTTTAAAACGTTTTGTGAATTGATTGTGGTTGAATTTTACCTTAAGTTGAAGCTTGTATTACGTATAATTGCATACCTAACATATATATGTAGGGAAATTGATAATTTTGTATTTAAAAGTAATATTTTTAGGCGATTTTCATTTTTTAGAATATTCTTAAAAAATTATCGTGTTACCATAACACTTCATGTTCGGAAAATACAATGGTTTTGTCAGCAAGGCGAGGGTTTCTGCATCCATGTATTTTCTAGTAAAATGCATTACATTCGCACAATCATCAACCTAGGCAGGGTGCAATTAATTTTAACCTTTGCATTAATAGAATTTCAGTTAATTTAGTACAACCACATTTTCAGGTATTATCAGAAGATTTGCGTACGTGCACACGGTAAAATGTTGTACGCCAATTCATAATAAAGTTATTATGACATTGGAATGTTAACTCCGCTATATAATGATATCAAAAGCTGAAATATATAATTGAAATTTAGTGATTTATAATTTAAGCTAGAAAATTGTACTTACTTGTTTTAATTAATTAATTAATTAATTAATTAATTAATTAATTAATTAATTAATTAATTAATTAATTAATTAATTAATTAATTAATTAATTAATTAATTAATTTATACACTGTGCCGTTTAAAAAGTTTACTCATATATCATTTAGGCCTGTTTTACACGCCGAATTTTAGTCGCGTCGAATGCAATTCAAACAATAGATAATGAAGCTTAATGAGGTTTATTATCTCATTATCTATTGTCGTTATTTCATTCGACGCGACCAAAATTCGACGTATAAAACAGGCCTTATATTTTGCAAATGTTCCTGTTCAGTTTTGTACCATTGTGTTAAGCGGTGTATTATGTGTATTGTATTTTTTAAACCAGGTCTTCTACGTAATTGGCTTAATACGGTGTGTTGGCGTTCCTGTGCCATTTTGTACTATAGAATAACTGCAGATCCAGACCTTTGGAGTTATAGAAAGTGTCCTGCTTGGTGGCATTTTAGAGATACACTTTTGCATGACTGGGGCATATTTATTCATCATAATTATATATACCATTGCATATAGTAGCCCAAAATATTTGTGATTTTGACATTTCAGAAGAAAACTCCAGGGAGTTTGTAGAGAATGCCAATCACCAATTTTACCAAGGTCGAGTACAAACTGAGCAGGGTTTCTTATTGGCCAAAATAAACTAATTCAGCTTTTCATCATTTCATCAAACAATAAATATTGGAGCTCTTTTTGAAATGATTTTAATGTTTTTGACAGAGTGATAGTGTCATCAAGCGAATTCCAGAATAGGGTCCCGCTTTGTCTTAGGGTCATTTTTCTAGTTGTGGTTCTTACTTGAGTGATATGTAATTTGCTGGCAGTTCTGGTATTATGGTTGTGAATTTCATCATTATGAACAAAGTAGGTTTGGAAGATAGGTGGAAGAGTACGAGGGTAGTTAATGCATCTAAATATAAAGGCTCCAGTTTGCTATTTATTTATGTCATAAACAGTCAATAATTTCAGCTTTTAGAATAAGGGCTTTGTGTGGTCTCTAAATCCAACGTTAGCAATTATTTATATCATTTATATTGTATTATATTTATTGGTACTGTTTTCCTAGTGTAACCTTTAAGGCTTCGTAGTTCCGCTTTGTTTTACATTATATTTTATGGCACTATATTATATAAAATTCCATAATACTGTCATTGAAAGTCAGTATTAGGAAGGATTCTAGCTTGTGTTTATACTAATTCTAACAATGGCCATTGCCCAAATTCCCTGGTCGCTAGTAAACAGATTTACTCACAAAATTCTGGGAGTAAATCATATGTCTTACCTGCTGAGAGTTGCACTTTAAAGTGAGCCAACCAGATGTTCTGATACATTCCATATAAACATATAAATTTAATAGTGGCAGAGAGCTACTGTATGTTCTAAAATCCATTCCAAATCATTCTATAATTTTTACCAAGAACCAACACAAGACTGTGGAGACAAGAACGCTTGTTATGGCCTTGTCTCCACTTGTTTTAATACATTTAATTGAAGAATCAATTTCATATGATACAAATATTTACATCTTGTGGTGTATTCACTCATTTTGGTGCTCTTCATTAAATTATCTATGACTTCAAGGTCCTAAGAATGGCGAGAGCCTACTTGCATTTCAATACTATTCAAACCTATTTCATGTTCCATTAGATCTGGATAGCTATTCAATATCTACTGTGTATATCCATATTTAACCCATTGAGTCGCAATGCGCTCCAGTGCGCCCTACTTATATTTTTTTACTTGTCTAATGCCAGATGATTTTACTTGCCATTGAGCCGTAATGCGCCTCTCTGTGCCCTACTTTTTTTACTTGTCTAACGCATGATGATTTCACTTGTCAATGGGGAAGCTCTGCAGCTTAATCGCTTAAAGTAGCATGATATTAATTTTTCCAGTGCAGTCGGCTTTGAATTATTATTGATTTGATAATGTTAATAGTGTTGTATTCAATTTTAATGCTATCTAATTATACTGCATTTTAATAATAGTAAATTTGTTAATGATGTAGAACTCTAATAGTTAAAACACAGTTAAGATTGAACTGGCTGCCGAAAGACAGAATTAAAAGTTATTTATATTATTTAAACAATGTGTACTCAATATGGTACTCATTAATTCCTTGCATGTTAGCTACAGTATATATTTAGCAAATACCGAATAAAAACACAGTTAATTAAGATCCAACTGGTTGCCGAAAGACACAATATCTTGACAACCTGCTGCCGAAAGACGATTCATCTTGATAGCATAAGAGTTTTCACTATGGTTGTGTTTCACATAGTTTATACAAGCTATTAGATTTTATTAAGTTATTTATATTTATATTATTTAAACAAGGTATACTCTTTAATTCCTTGTATGTTACAGTAGCTATATATTTAGAAAATACTGGACTAATAAAAACACAGTTAAGATCGAACTGGTTGCCGAAAGACACAATATCTTGACAACATGCTGCCGAATGACGATTCATCTTGACAGCACAAGAGTTTTCACTAGGACTGTGTTTCACATAATTTATACAAGTTGTTAGATTTTATTAAGTTGTTCATATTATTTAAATAAGTTACTCATTAATTCCTTGCCACAACCTGTTGCCAAGTTATGCAGTTAATGCCCCACACTTTCCCTTTGAGCACTAAAATCATCTAGTATTAGACAGAGTAAAATAACAAAGTAGAGCACATTCAAACTTAATGAGTTAAATATTATCCTGGTTATCAATCTTGTTTACTTTATCCAACTTAATTAACTTTTGATTTATACTTCATTTTGTAGAGCCTCTTTAATGCATCTCAGCTGTGGATATTCTCTGCATTCAACATGGTCAATAATTTCAAAAGAGTGTGCTTTTTTGTGGGGTTAATATCAGTAGCTGCATTTGCTAACTGCATGTAATAGGATTGTGATGCTGATTTTCTTCCCTGTTGTAAGATGAGATCCGTTCAAGACTTCTGGCGCAATGTGTTTGTACACTTCCCTGTATTTCATCGCCATTGGTCAAGAGATTTCACAAACTTTGCTGAAGTCAATTATGTATCCCTTATTTTGTGCAACCCACACATTATTGGACTTCAAGCCACAGTGGAGATATCCTCTTTGGTGCATGTGGTCAAGTGCATCAGTGATGTCATAACATATGCAGAGCCATGTTTTGGTTGACATTTCTGAAGCTTGATGTTGGTACATTGAATCAAATAGCAACTTGAACACTGTTATAGACTGACTGTTCTCCCCAACAAATTGCATTATCAGGGAGATTGGCTTTTTGTCTAGTTGCACCCCCAAGTAACAATGGAATACATACGTGTGACAATTTTGGCAAAAATATTGCTTCTTTATATAGCATATCAGCAGTGCTGTCAGTCAACTGCTTTTCAACAACTGTTATTCCTAATCTAATGAATTTTTTATGGAAGCAATTGCCAAAAACTCCATTCCCTATTGATTCATTGCTTATTTCCTCCAATTCTTCATGTTGAATAGTTGTAATACCCACTGTACAAGTACTTGAGCTGGACATGTTCAACTGAGTTACCTTTAATTTGAAATTTAATGACTGTTTATTAGTGATTTGTATGGCCATACCAGGTTTTGTAATCAAGGGGTATTGAACTTGGTTGGTTTGATTGATTTTTTTATAGCTTTATATTTATATTTTAGTTCCTTAATTTTATCTTAGCTAATAGTGTGTGACCAACAAACCCTTTGATATAGTTTACAGTACGTCATGATTCTCTTCTTGGCAGGAAGTCTCATTCTCAAAAATCGTAAGCAAATTGGTGAAATTGCCTTTCATCTTGAATCGTAAGAATGAGGCTTCCAGGCAAAGGTAATGAATATATATATATATATATATATATATATATATATATATATATATATATATATATATATATATATATATATATATATATATATATATAGCCAATTCAAAAAAGGTGTCCTTTCTAAACCTTAAACTATAAGTGCGGAAAGCTTAATGGGAGCACAATTTTCAACTTTCAAACTTAGTAGTTGAATATTGCAGCTATTTGTGAATGAATTGTTTTCATAAGAAGATGCTCACCATGTCTCTAAGAAATGGGCTCCATCTATGATTTATAAACAGATTAAATAATGCTCAGCCTCCCATTATGCTTTGCACGTTTAGAGTTGAAGGTTTGCAAAGGACAACCTTTTCTGAATTAGCTGTATAAATATAGGTAATGACATATGGATAAGGACATACTGTAAACCTCCAAATATAAGCCCTGGGCTTATATTCGTTTGTACATGTTTTTTGATGGGCTTATACAAAGGGAGGGACTTATACATGGACAACATTTTGTGTTAGTGTAATAGACGTGATTTTTGTGTTGGTGATAAACAAATGTGGTGGTGGTGGGGGTGGGCACATTTTTGGAATGGTGTGAACGGGGGTATTCGAGGGGGGGGGGCTTATTATCAGAGGTTACAGTATTTATATAATGTAGTTATATTTATGCACATTTAAATGCTACGCCCTAGTGGGAGATCGGGCATATGTAGGGAATTTGACGGCTTTTTGTTTCCCCACCCTCTGGATTTTGATCGACACCATCTCCCGAGGAATTGAGCACCATCTTCTATACTGAGGAAGAGCACATGTTGAGCACTGGGACACACGACTTTCAAGCCTTTCACCACAAATTTATGTGCCCTACAATAGGGAATTTGACTGATATTTGCTTCCCTATGTTAGAGAATTTGACCAAAAAATTGCATGGAAAATCAGATGCCTGACCCTCCCACCCGCATTAATATAAAAAGGATTGATGAAATGTATTTGTATTAAAAATTGAGTATACTCTATTAGTGCTTGCCCTGTTGTTCAACTTAGTTTGTAATTTTTCGGTGACGTCAACACTTCTTCTCCAAAGTTTGTAATATTTAGAAGCAGTGCTCCCGTGCTGGCCAGTCCAGCTCCAGCTATCTTGACTCAAATTTTGCTTTGGCATCACGAAGTGCATCTTCTAATTCTTAATTCTATGAGCGCCGGGCGATTCAACTGCGATTTCCGATGTTGCTTTCTCTTCTTACAGCCATTGCGCGTCTTTCTTTTCTCCTCGATTGCATGTCGCATGATGAAATTTACCAAAATATTCGAATATGCGCTCGGCATTTTCGAGATCGAATAAAGATCGATACTTCGCGCGAACTGCAAATATTGGCGCCTAATATTTCTACATCATTGGTTTTCCCTATATGGAAGTGTTGCCTATACAAGGAATATGGTTACCTTAGCAACCGTATAGTGCATTTCTGCATAATTCATATTTTTAAAGGGAATTCGTTCATGCAAAGAGTTTTTGTCGTTGTAAAATGTGTTTAAATATACGGATGGATAAATGTAATAATTTATTATGTACTCTATATCTATTCCTTATGGTATTTACACGGTTAAAGCTAAGGTGAGCCCATTTACAGTGCTAATATTTTTTATATACACAATGTTTGAAGATATATAATGCGAAAATACAGGCAAATTGTTCTAGTCTTTTATCTGGTATATTACGTGAAATTTGCCGAAGTGTTAATTGTAGTCATCGAAGACTACTAGGGAATGTTTCTTTGTAGTTTTTCGTCAGTGTAATTGCAATTATGGTGGTCAGGTTAGGCTGACATTTTTAACTGTGTATGTTACAAGTCTTATTTCCAGTCAGGGCCAGGTTTTGATATTCTTCATATAAATGTATGACACCATGAAAATTAGGTGACGATGCATAGCCGTGTTTACACCACAAGCCAAGCCTGGCCGCCAAAGCCTAGTTTTGGACTGGATTTTTGTGGTGTAAACACACTTTGACCTTGCTTAGGCCAGGGTATCTGGGCCCATCAGAACAGGCAGTGGCGAAGCCAGCGTCGTGTGAGTGGTCATGCAAACGAGCGCCGAAGGCGTGAGACATCCTAGGGGGGTCCGGGGGCATGCCCCCCGGAAAATTTTTGAAATATATACCCCAGAAACGCCATTTGCAGCAATCTGAGCATCAAATTTCAGAAAATAGCTTGATCTAATGACGGGAAAATATGTGGATATTTTGGCATATTTCAGACAACAATAATGAAGATCGACACAAAAATAGGAAATCTGTGGTCTGCAGTTCCGCTAATTATAGTCATACCGGCAATTGTGCATTTCTTTTCGATCAGAAAATATTACATGCATGTTCTGTATTATCATAGTCTGTATAGACTACCTAATTGCTATCCCCTTGTCAAGTATTGCAACGTGAAGTCTGAAGAGTTTTCACATTTCCAGAACTAGATACAATTTTATCCACATATACTAACGGAACATAATGACAAATAGCTGCTAATACAGTCAGTATAATCTAGAATATAGGTATAATATGCAGGACTTGGAAAATATAACGCATGAGCCTTGATCAATTTCCTTAATTTAAAATCAATCGCCCAATTATTACAATATTACATACAGAAATGAATTAAGCATTATCAGATGTTTGAGTAGAAGACGTAGAAGTTTTACTGTCAGTTTTATAGCCGAATTCTGCATTCATATCGATTATTGGCTATTGCCAATATTGGATATTTTCGAACGCACGGGGAGTATGTACCAAATGGTAAATACAATTTAACAATATATATTGAAATTTCTTTGTTTGTTTCACAAACAAGTATATATCAAATATGTTGCTAAATCACAATCGCTAAAATGTTTGTGTTGCGTGTTGAAATGTATAAGCTTTGCAGCGCTATTTATAGAACTACATTGTTTACTACATTGACCTCGACATTGACATTGTATTTCATATAATAGCGTTCGATGCTTTATACGCCTATGCTCGGGTTGAAGGCTTAAATATTCAAGACAAAATACATGTAACAATAACTAAATACCAATAGGCAATAGCTTATTTAGCCTAAGCCTGACTGGCTAAGCCATTCTTTCTTTGAATACCACGACATTTGAAGACCTTCCCGATCGGGCATGTCGAAAGATCTGGCGTTTGTCTCTGCTTATAAACAATAATATTCTGCTCAGCAGAAAATGGTTTCTTCACCAATTCCCAAACAATATCGTTAGCTTCGAGTAAAGAAGAAGTCGACATGCTTGAATGACCTGAAGACGTGTTCATTCAGGCTGAAAGCTTCGAGCTAAGAGGCTGTGATCAGGTTGTGTTGCCCGTTTAGTCATGCAAATCGAAAATTGCATGACCAAGGCGTCAAAAACAGCCGCATTGCGCGTGCGCGAACGTCGTAAGCCAATCAGAAACCAACAAACCTAATATAAAATAATACAGCTAGTCATGAAATTCTTGAAGTGCATGACCAAAACACACAGCGAGCAAACCACGCAGCAATCACACGCAATCTTTTTCCACGCGCTTACGCAACCGGTCATGCATGTGAAAATATGCAGGACCGCTCAGTTGCCAAGGTAACAAAGCCAAAATCAATAACATACGAGAATATTTAGCAAGAATATCGCCTAAAGACCATTGATTTGGGTAAACAAAATAATAAATAAAATACTTAGGCGTAGAAGTGCAAAGATAAAGTATAATTCTATTGTAAACAATTATACTGAACTGATTTGTAAACATTTTGGGGGAAATTTTTAGTCATGCACTGCATGACCTGCATGACCGCTGGCTTCGCCACTGAGAACAGGTGTTCCAAATTTCCTTGCCTAGACCAGGCCGAAGTGTGCTCATTTACACTATAAAAATATAGTATAAAAAGGGTAGGCTTGTAGTGTAAACACAGCTAAATTGATTGGGAATTGTTTAAGGATCATGCCGCATCTGCAAGTGCCTTGTACATGTTCTTGCAATATCTCTCAGCCTAGCTCACATTTCTTTCTCATTTTCTCCTTTTATACGTGTTCATTGATAGCTTTGAATGATTTAGTCAGACTATTCTCCATCAGATTGTCATATTTGTCATCGGTCCACACTTTCCATCATTTGTCGCACTACAACAGTAATTTCTCCACCATGTCCCCTTGAGTTTCAATCTTCGCACTCTCTCATCATTCCCATCATGTTTGCGCTTGAATCGACTGATGTCAACACCAACAGATTTTAACCATTCTTTTGCAATTTGACCCCCACACAGTCTTTGCTATTTCACCCTGAGTGTTCTTGATGTTATGCTTTCTTTCTAGAGTTGACCAGTTTAGAACCATACTATCTGGATAATTTTCCAATTCTTCTCTCATTAAATTCTCCGTATCAAAATTCTTGTTTTCTAAGTTTTCAAGTTCCAACAGGACTTCTCATTCTTCATGCCTACTTCGTGTGGTGATTGCTGTTTTGCTGCTAGGAATATAGAAGTATATTATTTTAGTTTGTTATTCCTGCTTATACATGATTATTTTTGTCTTTGCATTAAATTGCGCATACTGTATTTATTCAAAGTTGGCTTCCTTGGCCAGGAGCTTTGAGAGATAACTATAAGGTAATGGCAAGTTTGACAAAAGCCCTCAACTCAGCATGAGGGTTGCTCCAGTAACAATGGGCTAATAATACTGTAAAA